CAATGAATGCCTACAACCCGGTCCCGGTTTAGACCTTTAACTCCTGACTCTTCTTCCTCCAGATCTGCATGAAGGCCGTGTGTTCCTGCCCCGAGAGGCGCCACATTGACCTGAAGCGCCCTCATTGCCAGGAGCTGTGTGGCCGGTGCAAGGGCCAAAGACTTCCCTGCGACAAGACCTACAGCTTCAAGTACATTGTGTGATGCCTGGCTGTGCCCTGCGGGGGTGACCCCATTGTGCTCTGACCGTGCCCTGCGGGGATGACCTCATTGTGCCACGTGGACTCTCTGGTGACCTCCTCACATGACGGGGAACGTGGCTCTTATTGTTTTGCACTGAATTGTACAGTTTTTTTTTCCTTTGTGTATAAAATGAGTTTTTTCTGTAGATAGATTTGTGTTGGACCGGACGTCCCCGGAGTCCCTCACCTTGTGGACCGGACGTCCCCGGAGTCCCTCACCTTTGTAGAAATCAAGTTTCAGACAGACTGTCTGTGCTCACCTTGTGTACATATCACGGAGCTTTGTATTGATCAGTATAAAAAACACTGCAGTCTTAAAATAAAAAAAATAAAAATCAAACCTGTGATCATCGGTCTTCATTCATCTGCAGGAAGCACTTGGCTAGTGTGGTACCCCCCCCCCCAACACACATGTATGACCATCTATGGGCCTCAATAAGTGGTGACCGCCATCTATGGGCCTCAATAAGTGGTGACCGCCATCTATGGGCCTCAATAAGTGGTGACCGCCATCTATGGGCCTCAATAAGTGGTGACCGCCATCTATGGGCCTCAATAAGTGGTGACCGCCATCTATGGGCCTCAATAAGTGGTGACCGCCATCTATGGGCCTCAATAAGTGGTGACCGCCATCTATGGGGCCTCAATAAGTGGTGACCGCCATCTATGGGCCTCAAGTGGTGACCGCCATCTATGGGCCTCAATAAGTGGTGACAGACATCCATGGGGCCTCAGTATCTGATGACTATAGGCCCACAGTATGGGTTGGCCAACATGTGGGGCTTCAGAACATGGAGACACACCTCTATAGACCTTTATGTGGGGAGCTTCAAAATGGGGTGACCAGCATCTGTGGAGCCTCGGTATGGGCTGGCCCTCAATGTGCGTTGAGACATCAATGGGCCTCAGTATGTGGTGACAAACATCTATGGACACCTAGTGTCTGCTGGCCAACATTTGTGGGGCCTCGGTGTGCCGTGACTTATTTACAACAGAATTGGCTTGTATCTGCAGATCTAGGGGCCCCTGGTGACATCTCTGTGGCCCCTGGTGGTGTACTGTCACTGACCACCTCCTCATCTTGTCTAGGAAAGACTGACCTTGTTACGATGACAACCTGTGAATTACATGATCCTGCTGGAGCACTGGGTGGGGGATCGGCCCTGACACAAGATGGCGGCCTGGAAGAGATGAGGCGCTCAGAGAATTCACCGGAATGCAGGATGAGGCGAGTCAGCCTGGAACGAGGAGAGAACCCGCAGACATTTCCTGTATCCAGGACTCAGGAACTTCCTCCTATAGGGACAGGAAGCAGAAGAAGCGCTCTGTGGGGTTGGCGAGTGACACATCTCTGCAGGTGTAAGCAAGTCAGATGGAGGGCACTGCAGGTATAGCGTCAGAGGGAGTATAAGCAGGTCAGAGGGAGGTCACTGCAGGTATAGGGTCAGAGGGAGGTAATTGCAGGTCAGGGGAGGTCACTGCAAGTATAAGCAGGTCAGAGGGAGGTCACTGCACGATGATATATGACAACACAGCTGAAGGCTGAACCAGAACTGAGTGTTGTCGGCCTCCTACTAGGCGGGTCTCACACAAAATGTCCGCCAAACGGAGACAAAATCTCCACGTGAATATATATCTGAACTGCCGAGGACAGTATGAATTGGAAACACTAGAGGCATATAACTGAATTATAATTTGGGGAAAGACGCCATTTTGTCGAAGACTAAAATGTCTTACAACAAACGGAGGGCGGGGTCTGAAATGTGTTACACAGTTGGAAGGCGTGGTCAGCAGAGTCGACTCTGACAGACGGGCGGCGGGAAGAGAAGAGGTGAAGACCCGCCTCTAGACTCTGGCCTCTAGTGACGTCACGCAGCCTGGTTTGGCGCGGTTTTTGTTTGTCAGGAATTGGCGCTCATTTTACCTCAGAACAGAGAACACCGGCGAGAGGAGATCCGCCCGAAGGCACCCGGAGAGAGAGAGAATCATGCATGTCATTAAGAGAGGTAATCTACCCGGATATATGACCCCAATACTTTCATATACACCCCATAATACAGCACCGACCGGATAGATCACCCCAATACTGTCCTATACACCGCATAATACAGCACAGACCGGATGTATCACCCCAATACTTTCATATACACCCCATAATACAGCACAGACCGGATAGATCCCCCCAATACTTTCATATACACCCCATAATACAGCACAGACCGGATAGATCACCCCAATACTGTTCTATACAGCACAGACCGGATAGATCCCCCCAATACTTTCATATACACCCCATAATACAGCACAGACCGGATAGATCACCCCAATACTGTCCTATACACCGCATAATACAGCACAGACCGGATATATCACCCCAATACTGTCCTATACACCGCATAATACAGCACAGACCGGATATATCACCCCAATACTGTCCTATACACCGCATAATACAGCACAGACCGGATAGATCCCCCCAATACTGCCCTATACACCCCATAATACAGCACAGACCGAATATATCCCCCCAATACTGTCCTATACACCGCATAATACAGCACAGAGCGGATAGATCACCCCAATACTGTTCTATACACCCCATAATACAGCACAGACCGGATAGATCCCCCAATACTGTCCTATACCCCCATAATACAGCACAGACTGGATAGATCCCCCAATACTGTTCTATACACCCCATAATACAGCACAGAC